ACGTCTTACGTGTCTGGATCGCCAGAGCTTTTCAGGAGATTCTGTGGACGGTGTGTCTCAAGATCCGGGTTTCACAAAATGCTTTCACACTGAGAAAACATTAGGGATGCCGCTTCTATCTGCTCAATTTTCCCATCATGGTTCATGAATCCCCTCTCGTAGCAATAGCCTCCCCAAAGATCATACATGATTGTGAAAATGTTAGCTGTAGGTTGCACGTATAGCCTGGGCAACAGGAAATTGGCGGTAGCAGTAACAGTAATTGCTATAGCGGTATAACGGAACACCAGGAGAGAAGGGTCAAGACGACCAGCAGCGGAATCATCCGTGCCTGATGCATGGATCTGCTCACCACGTCTGGAGCTTTTGTCAAAGGTTACATGGGTGGCGCTGGTCGTTTTCCAGTCCTGAAACATCATACAACCTCCATGTTTGCAAGAGAAACTTTGAACGGCATCGACGAGTAAGCAGCCAAACGCTGGAAAAAACAGACAAAACTCGCTTTGGCTTTAAGCCTGCGGCCGAGAGCTAAACAGGCACGGGCATAAGCATCGTGTGCCTAGCGCTACATGGCTGTGCAACTGGTCTAGCTTGACTATCAGCACTGATGTCCTGCCAATTGTCCTGGAGGTCGCGGTAGAGCCTCGGTCCACGCACCACTTGTGTGGATGGGTGGGCAAAAATTCAACGCTGAGATCCCCAACCGCACATGTTTTGCAGCCTGAGAACAGCCCTATAGAAGTCTGCTAGATCATGGAAACATGTGCGCTCTGCACGGAGGCTGCTGCAACTGCCGCATTGGCCCCCGGTTGGGACATGGCGACCAGTCCAGCCACGGCAACTCCTCAAGTTGCGCACATTTCACACATGAGGCATCATGAGGCTTGTATGAACACGCTGTCTCCTGATGGGTCTTGCGGGGCTGGTCGCTGGCCTGAGGTTCCTCCTGAGTGTGTGTTTCCTGGAGCTTCTTGATGTTCAGAAAGTGTGTTGCAGAGGAATTGGCCCTGCTAAGGTGTTTGCCCAGACGTTCAGCTTGTTGACGCAGGACAGGTATGCGCAGAAGGTCCTCAAAGCCCTTGTTCTCGTAGTCAGTTGCCAAAGCTGATCCAGCATCGATCTGCCTGGGAACACAGCTTTTGAGGAAAGTGCTCAGCAGGCTGGAGCGGCGCGAAGCCACAACGCGCAAAACGCGCAATGACCTACCTCCGACTGGGCAGTGGCAGCCGGACGAACTGGGTCAGTAGCCTTGCGCGAATTCCATGACAAGATGGCTTCAGGCTTTTACCGCGATGTCATCCGCACAGCCACTCATAGCTTGTCTGACACCGAAGGAATGAAATAAGAATAGAGAGGGATGGGGAGGGAGGGGTTGTCCCATTTTTCCTCACTTGGCCCAGGCGTCTGCTATCCCAAGACATTCAGTGACCGCCTACCGCAAGAGGGTTGCTGTTGTTGCAGCAATCATGCGGTACATGCAACGATTGTGAGTATTTTCTGAGCTCATGTTATTCGTGTTGACCATATGAGCTACTGTCTAAACTCCTAGTATCCCCCTTAATATCCCCTATAGTAGTCCCCTATATAATCCCCTATATAACCCCCTGTAAGGAGTTTAGACTATGGCTCATATGTTCTCCACCTGCTTAATTGCTGTCGCAGTGGATTCTAAGCTGTAGCGTTGTCTCCTTCTTCTGGTCAAGTGAGAAGCGTGCGCGCTCTGCATCTCGTCAATCAACTGACGAGGGCTCTCTGAAAATCTAAATGCTCTTGCCAGCGCGTAATCTCGACAGCTTTTATGTGTACAAGGATTTCGCCATTGAAGTCTTCACAGCGTTCTCCGCCATTTCCAGCCTGAAGCCTTATGCCCTCTCTTCTTCGAGTTCCTTGTGGAGCTTCTGTAGATACCTCACTGCAATCACCTCTGGATGAGCCAGAATGGTATCACGGCTCAATCTGGAGCCTAAGACCTGGGCATTGTGACTCTTCGGATGCAGCGCGGACGCTCGTGACTCTTGCGGAAACCCCTGTTGCGGTCATGCGGTCACCTGAACAATGGTGGCAGCTATGTTGTAGGTAAGAGCTCCTAAGAGTACCTCATAGTACGTAAGCAGTGTGAGCTGCTGGTGCGGCATTTCGCCCATATCTGCTGCCATTGTAGAAAGGTCGTGAGGACAGAAACAACTGTAGCACAGTGGAGAGGGACTGCTGCGGTAAGTGAAACAATGACAGCACAAAAACAATTGGTACACACAGATAATGAAACGCTTGATCCACGATCCCGCCTCACACTGAATGAATGGGCAGACACCTTAGTTTTATGGCCTACCCACTTGGGCATATGCAAATCCACGTCAGTACAACCCAAACCTTAAATTAAAAGAATGATTTCCAGATAGTCAATCCACGTGCATCCAGGAGCCCAGCAGACGCATGGATGGCAAGCCAGGCACTCAAGAATAGGAAGACAAAGGCCTTAGCTGACACTCATACGCATACTGGCTTAGGCAACTTGGGTTGGACACACTGGAGACTATCCCACCCTCAGCCCTGCTACAGCAATCGATGCTCGGCGGCTGGCCTCAGCCAAACCTGGGAGAATCACATGCAAGTGCTGCAACTTCCAACATGGAAAAAAACGCAGCTTCAGCTCAGGACTTTACTGATTACATAAAGCCACAGGAGCCACGTAGGTTCGTCTGGCAAACTAAAACCACTTGTTGCACACGACTGCACGCTGCACTGGCAAGGTGGATCAGACCTTTCATTGCTTTGATGTGCAAGACACCGTGCACCAGCAGGTCTAGACCTCAAAAGTAAATCAAATGGCATCGGCGCCGTCGCTTCGAAGATACATCTGCAAAACACGGGAATGCGTTGAGGACATTGCAACAGCCGAGCTCGAGGATGGCAATCATCAGATAGCTGTCCATCCTCGTGGAATCGACTTTTGTAGCCACAAGAGAATTTTCCAGTTGTTCAGGAGTCGGACTTGCTGGTAGTCAGCTCCGTGAGGTCACGGACATCCTGGAAGGATGCTGCCGAAGTCCGCGAGTTTGTTTGATGCTCATGCCTAGTGTCGAAATACTTGCAAGTCAAGCGCCTCTCGATAAAGCATGAACTGCTTCACGCGCATGTCCTGCTCTTGGTACTCCCGCCTGATGTGCGCAGAAGCATTTCCAGCCGGGCAAGTCTCATTGCCATCCTCAAGGCTGCTGCCACTGCCGCAGGACTTGGTCAAACATGAAATTGCCTCGGTTGTAGCCTCAGGCCATGTCGTTGCGCCAGTTGCTGTTGCAGGCTTTGCTGACATGCAAGCACAACACACAAGCACAATCGCCCTACATCATCACCTGAACGACTTGCAGTTCACTCCGCATATGTAGGATGTCTCAGTTCATCTCAGCGGGGCCCAGAATTCATTTATGAATTTAAGTATTGGCATTGGTTTTGTTTAATTTCCCAGGGTGACGCTCCATGCGAGAGCTCGATTTCTTGCCAGAATGGGAGGGAGGACGCTTCAGCTGAGAGCGCGAGTTCGAACCAAAACTTGAAGATGCTGCCCGCAGATGCTTCACGCGACTTGACAAGTTTGTGCCAGAAGCTGAGGATGCTCCACTTGAGAGCTCGATAAACATGAGCATGCTCCATGCAAGAGCTCGAATTTCACACAACATGGGATGCTCCAAAAGAACGTGACGGTGACCAACATGCGAAGATTTTGCCAACATGGGACGGCACGCCACGTGAGAGCAAAGTATTGAGTCAACGTCTGAGGACACACCAGGCGAGAGCAATGCAAACTGAAACAATTGCAACAAAGGCAATCCTCAAAATGTCAACAGCAAAAGTAACAGTAACACCCCCGTAACACAATGATACAGACGTTCATAATCACAGATTTACCTAGATACGAGAACCTTTATTGATTATGTTTTGTGCGGGACTGTGCGGGGGAGCACAGTCGTGCCTCTCCTACGCTGTAGATGCTGGGGTTGCATAAGGATTGCATAGGAAAGTACGCAAGCATAATGCGGAGAGGTTCGGGGCCGTGAAAAAAGATATCCGCATGGGATTATGTTGCGTGTGTTTGCCTGAGTTTTCTCTCTTTCTCGAACCTCGCCTTGCAGGTGTCATGCAGTAGTGCGCGTGGAAAGCATTAGACGCCGGGGCGCAGGTTGCTTTGTTTTCCTACATGTGCCGATCCTCACTGAGCCTGTGCTTCAGAGCTTATTCTTCGTGCGCTGAGTACAGTAGCACCAAACACCGGGGCACGATGGTTTTTGCTTTCCTCCGACACGTGCCTGTCCAGTGTGCCATGGAGGAAGGGCTTGTGGGACACGGAATGCAACCATGGGGTAAGTCGCTGGGCCATGGGGTTGGGGTACGAATTGTGGGATACCAAACAACATGCTGTTAGCAGGAAATGAAAAAATGCATCTGCGTCGCAGCCCTTCTGTAGTCCCGAATGATATGATTGTTTCCATTGTCTTTTCGTGTCCTGAAGCCGCCAGATCCTTTTGCCAGCAAAGCCCATTCAGAGAGCTCCGCCACGCCACGTACACCCCGGCAAACTGCAACTTAGTTTTCAGTTTCCTGAGACACTGGCCGAAGAGCTCTTCAACGCCATCTGTGATGGACATTGCAAGCTCGTGAAAGCTCTTGAGAGCTTTCAAGCAACTATGTACAAAGGCTGCAGCCCGTGCAGCCCGCAGGCTGAGCTTCTGAAAGCTTAAGCCATGACTTGAAAGACCACCAACAAGTTTCAACGAAGCAAAAACAGAAGCTGACATGTTTGTACAGACGTTGACCTTTTTGTGTCCATCTTGCAGCTAATTCAACTTCAGTCTCCTTTGGAGACGCACATGAAGAAGTCATGTTGCACATCGACTGTAAGCTGTTGTTGAAGCAGTGGAACATGTCAAGTGATTTGATATTAGAAGACCATACTTTTCATTGAAGACGTGAGACCTGAGACCGCATGTTGATGCCTTCCACTCTCACTCCTCAGGCTGTGTGTCTTCCAGGTGCCTTGGCGTAAGCATGCGAAGCCAAATCTGCGCGTGACGTATGTCACACGGAGCGTTTGTGTGTCTGCTGCTGTTAACATCATCTGTCTCTGAAACAGCAATTTCATGGTGCTACTGGCTGAGTGCAGTGCGCACCGTCTGTGAGGACAGCATCGGCTTCAGAATCCTGCATCAAAACACAACGAGTCCATTTCCACAATGTCAAGTACAGGCTCTTGTAGCAGCGCTTGCAAAAATGCCATGCTTAGTAGCTCTAGCTGGCCATGAACAAAGCTAAAATTTCAGTCACTTTGGAGCATAGCGCTGACAACATGGACCTTTGGGCTGCAGCCTCAAGTTGCTCCTGAGCATGTTCTTGCGTCTCCGTGGCTGCTTGGGGTTCGTGAACGGGAGGAGGCGACTCTTCAGCCAGTTCCTCCTGGCCGAGTGGTAGGTGGAGCGCAGAATCAGAGTCAACATGCGATGCCGCAAGTAAACACGATGGACTGGCTCGTATAGGCAGAGCACAGAGAGGATACGTGTTGTTCACAAAGTAAAATGACATTGCAGTAGTGGACTGAGTCCACGACCTCTGGTGTGGGATTGTCGAAGGAAGCGGAAACACTCTCTTCCCCTCCCTTCCAAAATCAAGGGAGGTGGGGAATTCCCCTCAATCTGGAGACCGGGGCCGCAATGGGCCTCGGGGCCCCAACCTGAAGGTCAAGGAGCACGGCCAGCCCATCACGACGTCATTGTGGGCCCAGACGAAACAGCAATGCAAAGCTGCGGAAACTGGACAAACATTGATGCACTGCGAGTTCAAAGGGTCCAGGAAGCGCCGCCAGCACTCTGCAGAAGCGCATGGTCGCGCTTGAAAGCGAGGTTTAAAACGGTTGCCAAACTTGACGCCAAGTCCTTCGCTCCGGTCCTTGCGCCCCGGCAGCGCCACGGTCTTGGAACTCATTGCAACCCGTCGGCGTCAAGGAACGACGAGTTTGCGGCGTTTTCGCCGGCTTACCAAACTTCCTAAGGCCCTTTTCCCAACAGGTTGCCTTCATGCCGACAGGCCATCGGATGTTGGGACGCCGTTGATTGGCTGGCTACGCTTCACTTCATGCGCAGGATCCCTTGCGTTCTTGCATGGATCTTCCACTTGCTGCTCTTTCTTGCCCTGGCCTGTGGGCTGCTCTCCTTCAGGAAAGTTTGCATTCCCACGACTCTATCCAGACGCTGATCATCTCTTGTGGCGTCCTTTCTTTCTGTGCCTCTGAGCCCTGTCAACTGACCCGTGTCTTTCTTGCTCAGGCGCCGATGAGCGTTTCAATCTGCACTGCCGGTACTGCATGCTGGCACTGTCGCGCTCTGTTGTTCCTTTTGTCTGTGCTTCCGTGCATCATGACTTCTAGCTTCTTGAGACTTCTGTCTCCCTCTCCGTTATTGCTGTTGTTTGACAAGTCTTCTATCTTCTACGACACGCAGAGGTATCACGCAATCTGCTGCCGTGTTCTTTGGGAACGTGTTCTTGGCGGGAGTCTCCCTTTGTTGTTGTTCAGGATACTCGGCGACTGTCTTATAGACTTATAGACCCCTGCAAGCTGCTCCATGCCGGCCCCCTTCCTTCATGCAAGGCCTCTTCTTGCAGTCCTTGCTCCTAATCCTCTTGTAGTGTTTTTGCATTTTTTTGTCTTCAGTAGGACCCTAGGATTACTTTTTTGCGGCTCCACTTAGATCCCAGCCAAACGGCATGAACAGCTGTTTTGAGGGAGCGAGTGTGAGAGAGGGGGAGCGAGAGGGTCATACATGTATTTCCCAAAATCGAAGGACCCCAATATAGACCCCAGAATATTATTCTTTCTGTTTTTTGGGACCCCCGAAAAAGGTACCCCCTAATTTTGGGAAACCCTCATATACAGGTGCAGGAATATGCAGCTTGCAATTGAACTTTGTGATGGCAAAAGGCGTTGTCAGTGGCACAGTTAGGCTCTGTGGGCCTCTCCTGTGTGTTGCTTGCGGATTCAGCTGCTTTTGAAAAAATCATTGTGCGAGGCTGCGCCATGGCTTGCTGGTGGATGATAATTTAACCGCTAACGCGAGACCGCCTCGGCAAAGGCTGTCAAGGCCTAGAAACTGAAACAAAAAGCCGATCCTACGCTCCCGGACTGCGCGCTGGGAGGGGGTAGGGGGAGGGTTAACTTACTCTCCGAGTTTTCAGACCTGGATCTTAACGCCCCACGCCTCCGGCCTCGGCTTTTTCAGCGGCATTAGCGAGGCTAATCACCAACATCCAAGTTTTGCAACACTTCATTGAAAATGCGAGCACAGCACAGCACGACTATGGTGAGAACTGCAAGTGTTGGGTATGGCAAGCGGCTTTGGAAGAAATGAGAGCGGCAATCCAAGAGGCCAAGACAGCCAGACATTGATTCCTGGATGAAGTATATATTCCATCAATGCAGCCCACAAGATCTTCTCTCTGCTAACTATTCTGATTGGTTGAACTACGGTTGGCTCATAGATGCTGGAATGCCCTGTGTAGCTTAGCCGCAGTTGCCTGCAACTCGAACTCCTGGGAATCCATCTCAGCTGCCTGTAAACAGAGCTAGTAATCATAATATAGTAGGTTCCATTTTCTTTTCCATTTTCCCTATATAACCCCAGTAAACAGGGATAGTAATTACAGCAACAGCTTCGCAACCTCGAGCTGTCGAGCTGCTCTATGCAAATGGGCCTTGACTCTTTCGGAGCGCTCGCGCAGCAAGGCATCCATTTCTTCCAAGATCACCTAGGACGTCAATTCCAAGGCATGGGCAATTTCCAGAATGAAACAAGCCCCTTTACAAAAACGTGTTGCCTCCTGCTGGTCCTTGCTCACGCCTTGAAGCTTCATGCGATTGATGGCCTGCAACAAAGCCGCGCATGCCCGTTGTAAAGGATCCGCATTGCTGAGCTTTTGTTTGTTAGCATTCCGCCTGCGCTGGTCTCCTGTTTTCAAAACACGTAGAAAGCTCGCCAATCTTTTCGAGCATCACAGGAAATTTAGAAGCCCTACGTGGTTGAACTTCCGGTTGCAAATATATGTTCCGTAGATTTGGATAAGCAGCCAAGTGTTTCTAGTCTCCAAAGAACTGCTTTCCGAGAAAGTCACGTCTTTCCCATCAGCATGTCATATTTCGCAGTTCTTGGAGTGTGCGATTAGAGGGGTCAGGCTGGCACCGTCAAGACGATGGAAAGCAAAAAGGTGTCGAAACAGTATCCTGTGGCAAGTTTGCTGCATAGCGTCAATGTCAACTAGGCTAACCGTCCTTGCAGTGCGAACTGAGACCAGCATTCACATCCAACTGTGCAGTGGGTTTACTGTCAGTCTATAAAGAGAGAAATAAAACGTTCGGACTAAGAGCCAGACCACCAAGGAGTCGAATTCAAACGGTAGCAAGGAAGCAAGGGGTGGCAACCACTGTAAGCGCAGCAAATGTGGGCGGGCCAAAACGCAGCACAAGGACCCACCGCACTATGCTTTCTCAGCGCAGACTGCTTTGTCAAGCAGGAATCGTAGAGTCTTCCTCATAGCTTACATGGTATTGGCTGCTGTCCACCACAAACAGGATGAGTGGTGTCCTAGGATTAAAGGCGGCCACAGCAGGAAGATTCCCTGCAACAGCAGCATCAATAGAAGCACAAACAGGAGTAGCCTGACCCCCATGTCTAATTAGTACCATCTACAGATGCAGATAGATGCGGGCAGCAGACTTTTTAGATTTCTTTGCTTGCGTGTCAACAGTCACAGGGGATTGCGGCGATTGCAGGGGTTGCAGTTGCCAAGCTGGCATCAGTTGTGACACTCACTGGGATCGCGCTCGGGGCAGCTATTTGCCCCCGGCAACTTCTGGGCCTTGAACAAACCACACCACCACATCTGCTTGTGTCAATTCCGGAAAAGGGGTGTCTCAAGCTTTGCCGACTGCACCTTGCCGTATAGCCCTACATTCGTTACGAGCAACAGCTGCCTCAAGCGTATACACCCTCGAGGATCTTGGAGGTCTGCGGCTGGGTTGAAGGTCGACAAGATCATGATCATCGCAGCGGTGGCTCTCTTCTCGAACGAGAAGAAAACGCCGTGAAGGATGTGCTTCGGGTAATTTCGGGAAATTCATGAGGCAGCTACAAGTAGAAGGATCTCGAGGAAATGATGGGCCGTGGCCTCGTGCAAAATCGGTGGATATGGAGCACCCTATCAAGGAATCGAGGGAGCTCATGGAGACAAGGATGTTTGAACAGCGTGCTCGCCACGAAGCCATGAACTGAGATGGACTACTGGCTCTGCCGCTGCCAGTACCGGTTGCATGACTACTTAGAAAAGTTTCGCGTGTTGTTTCAACATGCACCTTGCCAGGGCTCGACATCTGAAATCGTCTGAAGCTAACACTGTGTTTCTTGTCGGCAGCGGTCCTTGCCAGTGGACTTTGCAAAAGCGACTTCACCCACTAATGCGCCAGAGTAAAACATGTTGCATGGCCGCAGAATAGGGCACACCAGGCGCACCTGCAGCTTTCCAGAATTTCTGGTGCACGGAATCTACCCCCCCCTCCCGGCACACTAGACGCTTGCTGGCGGTACTAGCGGTTGCAATGAATAGAGCTCGGGAATATTCAGAAAAAAACAAGAGGCCAAACTGCCGCAAGGCGAACAAGCTACGAAGCCAAAGACAGCCTTGCCTTGCTGCGAACATGAGATCGACAGAGAGCAGAGATAACAGGATCTCTTCTGAAAACCCAGAGACGTGCTTGCTCAAAAGCTGCTGAAATCAAACTCAAACAGACAACCCGCAAAGCGTTGGTCTCCTCCTCATCCTAGCATAAACATCAACATGCACTTTCTGAAATTCCTTTCACAGACTGTCAAAAAGAGGATCACGCGGGAAAACAAGCCCAGCCCTCAACGTTTTCTGTTTGAAAAGCTTCGCAAAGCATGAAAGAATTGGCACGGGCCAGGCCTTATCGCGCAAGCCTTTCATCGCGTGCTGCTTCAATTTGTCGACCTAAGGCTGCAGAACGTGCTTGCAACGCACTCTCTCACTTTGCTGCGGCAATTGAGGTTCAGGGAGCCTTGAAAATGGTGAGTGACTGGCAATTGCAAAAGTAAAAGATGTCCAGATGCTATGAGGCCACCCGGACTGTGTCCTTTACGCAACGTGCACAAACATCAAAAGATGCATGTCAAAGACAAAATTGAACATTGCGCTTGCTGATTGATTTCCAGCAGTTGGTTCGTTGTAGTTCACAGTCTCTCAAAGCCCAGACGTCACAAGATTGGCAGCTGATTCGGAAGCTGAAGTGAACTTCAAAATGATGCTTGAAATGAGTCTGCTTACCTGTCTGAATGGAAGCAAGAAACAAAATGTGCACTGGCGGAAGTCTAATGCGAGCAAGGGCTTGTTTTGCTTCCATTTGCTGATTTGCTACTTTTGCCTGCATGTTCTTTGGGACAGTCCAGCGCAGTCACGATTTGATAGCCTGTTGCACTCTTCGCTGCGGGAACTGCACTCATACTTCTTAACGCACGACCTTCAACAGCCTGCAACGCATCAAGAAGTTTGCGGAAGTCTCCCTGCTCTGAAGCTTTGGCCATTCCGCTTCGGCCCCCGTTTTGACCGTTTTGACTGCAAAATACGGATAATGTCAAACACTTGCAAATGTCTTGAAGGCATGTTGTGTGCTCTAGTACGCCGTCAACGTCTCCTAGGGATCTGGACAGAACGCCACGAAAATGCTTCTCATCAAGCGATTTCCAGTAAAGGCATCCAAGATGGAGAGTTGGCACCAAAGGCAGCCCTAGCCGGGGTTTCATGTGGTCGGGTGGCCAGTCAAAGGATCCATCTGTAAAACTAGGCTCAACTATCTCGCCGTCGCCAGATTGCTTGCCCTCTTTATGAAATGGCTTCGGAAGAAATCCAGGTCACAGCGCAAAGCTTAAGGCCAAGGCATCCAGCGGTTCAAGTGCGGCGTTGGTCGCGTGCTGAGCACAATGGGGCAGCTGAATTGCAATAGCACGTCAGACATCCAGGCTATGACATGGTCATACTACCAAATTTGGATGAATCACAAGCCCACCTCGATTCCTGCAAGCGCTTTGCTCAGCTTCCATTTGCTCTGCCCAAGGCGTTGGTTTTCCTGCACACATCAAGAAACGCATGTTTTTTTTATTATTATTCATTTTTTCATTGGCAGCTTTTGAGCATTATGCCAAGGCCAGTAGACAAACAGTTCACATGCAGCATTCCTGGCTGCTGCTCCCATAGCACAGGTACAAGACCAAAACAAGAAGGCTTGCTAGCTGCTCTCATCTGCTTGCTATTGTAGCTGCTGCATCAGACGGACCTCAGAAACTCCACGAGTTCGAACTGACTCCGTCCTGCGAATTGACGCACGTTCGCTGACACATTGATGGCTCATCATGGCGTCCTTCTACTGGACATGGGCAGGAACTGCGAGTTGCATCGCTGATGCCTTCAGCTGAAGATTCATTAGAGTTCGCTTGTCGGGCAAACATGAAACATGAACTTGGCAAAGCATGTCAGCTGCATCGAAATTGCCGCGGGCGCTTCGGACTTCTTGTTGCGCTTGCTGTAAAACTTGAAGAGACTACGCCAGGAGTTTCCAACATTAAGGCTGTGCCGGTGAGGACGGCCACATAAGTCGCAACGTACCAGTTTTATAGGTCCGAGGAAACCCCTACATCCAGAAGTATGTTGGAAATTCCGTTTTATCTTGTTTTTGCGGCCTACTGTCTTTGTTCAACTTGCTTGCCAGGGGTGGAGATGAGCGGGAGCAAACCTAAGGCTTGCGGACTGCTCTTTCTTTAGATCTGGAATCCCCCTGGCAGATCTGGCAGGCAATAGCTTGCCACAGAATCAGCAGCATTGCAACCGAGGTCTGGGCTTCTGCGCCAAGGGCGGGTAGAACTTCCCGACGCCCTGCGCAGCTCCGATGCTGGGAGCTGCAAGTGCGCAAGCAAAGTGCACCAGCAAAAAAGCGCCACCTCCAAGACTTCTTGGTCAATATCTGGAGCCTCAACTGAACGTGTGTAGCCCGAGCAACTGCTGTGCAGAGCGGTGGAAACACTTATGCTGGATGTCAGCGTCTGGCTCTTAACACGCCAGCGGCTGAGCGCGACTTCTTGAGGGAGAAGCCGCCAGACCTTACAGAGCGTGCTGCCTGCCCTTCCTACGAGCATGGACGACAAGCCTCCAATGCACGACCCCATCATCTTCAGGCTTCTCTTCCTCGCCTCCCAGAGAATTACCACACCCTGAGACAGCTAGACACTGCGTGCAAAATGAAATCCAAGCTCTTGACCTACGCCAGGAGGGAGTTCGGCCAGCTGCACCTGCCAAGCTGCACTGGGAGGTATTAGCTTCAACATGACTTTAGGCTGAAACCTGGTCTTCCTTTGGAGAAGGCTTGGCTTTGTCGCCTGCAAACTACGTGGCCAAGCGCCTTGAGCTGGAAATTGAAACTGCCACAGCCTCTCCGAGCAGCTCCTTGGCGCCAACCTGTGCCTCAGTTCTCTCTTCGATGTGCTCCATTTCCTGTCTTGATCCGTCGTGCAAGTACGCCACCAAAGATCTGGTCCCCGTTGTTGCGCTGTCGCACCTCGAGCTGGACGAATTTGCGGAGCTTTTAGCCCGTGCTACACTTGCCCAGGCAGGTCGAGGGCCGAACAGGCTCCAGGAAGCTTCGAGTGTGATCCGGTGCGCAGTTGTATGCGTAAGGGTGGGGCATGCTGTAGGGCAGCATCCGGCCCTTGCATGCAGGAGATCTTGCTAAATACTGTCGCAGGAATCAACGGACTGATCTGATCAGCTTCAAGGAAGCCTTCAAAGCTGGAGGGGCTGCCAAAGGAAGCGGGTCTGGTAACGTGTAGTGGCCAGGACCTAAATTGCAGACTGCAGTAACACTAGGGAACTTTTTCCCAAGCTCAATGGGTCTTAACGTGCTGAGCTGCCCACCAGGAACCTCTTCAGGATCTCCAACAACCTGGCATTTCCATTATCATTGCAGCCGCGTAGATTGACGTGGCTTGTGGCCTTGGCTATCAGCGCTTTGGTCTCCGAGCTGGTCGCACTTTCGTATCTGTACACGAGCTGGCCGACAACTTTGACTTCAACGGAGCCTCTGAGCAGCGCTCATGTGGCGAAAGCCCAGCAACGAACGAAGACACATACACATGCGTATATACATATAGGGCCCTTCCTTGATCTCACAGAAAAGTACTTCCATATACTTCTTGATCAAGCGATGAAAATCACGCACTCGGTCTCGCGCCAGAGCCAAGAACCGATCCCGAGGCTCCTGCCTTTTGCGTCGTATGATCCGGGAGGCGGATTGGCATCATAAAGCTTAGGAGCCACATCGAAGTAGCTTGGCGGCTTGTGAGCCTGTCAGCTGCTATGCAAGTACACACCACCTGCAAGGCATGTGAAGCTGATGAATGCTTCCGCTGCTGCACTGCCTCTAGCATGAAACGTCCACCCTCTGGACAGAACGGCTTGCCCATCTTCGCCCTGAGCAATAGTTGATATCCATTGGGTAACCGCATTACGCAAAAGACTCGAATCACATGTGAGCGGCGCCAGAAACCTAGAGGCCAGCCTTCTATCCATTTTCCAGGTACTCTTATCGTTTTCCCATGAAATAGCAGAAACTACTACGCTATCGTCTCATTTACTCTTATCGTTTTCTCATGATACGCACACGCGCACGCCAATAAGTTGTGTCAGTTCTAGTTCTATATACACCGTAAAACCTCGGTTTTTGTCCCAGCATGCCCCAGCTCATGTGACCTTTCGGTCTCTATCTTGCCCGCAAATATCTGCCAGGAGAAATGTGAACGGATTAGCAGTAGCAAGACATAAGTAAGATAGTTTGGGAAGATCTATGGGTTACCTTGGCTGCCTGGAGGACTTGACAGCAGCATGTCCCAACCACGAAGCTAACACTGCCATTGCTTCACTTAAACACGCGTGCCAACCGCATTGAACGGTAAGCTTGCGGCCAAGGTGGCGGGACGTAGGTCGGACCAGGGACAAAGCTCTTGTGCTTTGAAACATAGTCCTTTCATGGCTTGCATGCAGGTACCAGCACATTACCTGTTTCAGCTAAACGCAAAGACAAGAACGTGTCCAGCGTTGACGGGTGCTTGGACGTGCTGATCTTGCCATGCGGTTTCGGCCTGATGTCCAGGATGCACTTGAAGTTTGCAACTGTTGTGGCTCACCAATCCACTCACAGCTTCAGGCGCTTTTCAAACGCTTGCAGAGTCTGAGGCATTTGGATTGTCCTTGCAGCTTGTGTGCTCATCCCCAGTCTGACACTCCTTGCCGACATTCGAAGCAGGATTGGAAAGCTCCTCAGCTCGTGGAAGCACTGCGCCGGCAAATCCAAAAGATCACTGGCTTTGCACGCAGTTTGGGTCCATATGCAGTAAGTACAAGAAACAAACCAGGCTGAGCAGACACCCCAGCACTGGTCACTGGTAAGGTCAGTTGCAGCTTGTGTCCCCCTGCGCTTCGTGCTGACCCAAGCGCTTCCAACCCAACCTACACAAACCAAAAAAAAAAAGTACACGAGGAGAAAAACATGGAGCCAAAAGCTGTGAGGGCCAGAGTCTGGAGGCTGCACAGCCCAAATGCCAGGGATCCCAAGCCGGGGCATAAGAAACAGCCTCCCGTCAACAACTCACGGAACACCACCTCCCCGGTTATGAAGTCAACCTCTAATCAAAAGGTCAAGCTGCTGAAGCTTCATCATCTGTCGATTTTGCTGCAACGGTCTCTCCCTCTTTGGCAGCATGAACATTAAAATCTGCATATTCGAGCGAGTCGTCTTGGATTGCGATAGCAGACGCGCTGCTCGCACTCGCCAGCATGTCAGTCTTATCCAGCTCCTTTTCTTGCTCAGTCTCGGGCAAATACTGCTGCGGAACTTCCGCAGCCTCTGAGGGTAGGGGCACAAGACATTCACCTGCACTGTCCGGCATTGGCGGGAAATCGCTCTGTTCCTGGACAGGAGATATGGATACGCTTTCTTCGAGCCGCAACGCAGCGCAAACAGGTTGCCCTGTCAGCTGACAAGATTCATCTGTCTCTGCTACTGTGTGAGCCGCACTTGCAGCTTCCATCTGTTCGGCATCATCTTGGTCATTCCGAAGAAGACTTTCTTGCAAGGGTGCCTGGGCGGTGCATCGGTCGCACCACCTGCTCAAACCACTCACGATAAGGGCCAGCATGTAGAGAAGCAGTCCTGTAAGTGTGTTGAAGGCCGTCTCACCCCCCACAAAAGCCAAACCAAAAACCACTGGAGACCAAACAGACAGCACGATACCGAGTACAGGCACCCTCAGCATCCAGAACCACACATTCACCAATACCCAGAAGGAAAGGCGGTTAGCATACATTTGCGTTGCCTTGCTGGCAACACAGCGTGCAGACTCCAAGCCAATGCCAAACAGCAGCGCTACTGTAATCAGTACACTCACCACTGAGGCAACTTCCAAGCAAACGAAAAGCAGCAGAACACCTGCTACCAGCATCACCCAGCGCTCTTGAGGACACAGCGACAGCATATGCAAACTAAATGCAGGTCGCTGCAGCGTTGCAGCAAGAGCGCGTCGGCCGGCTTCTAGCACATTACACAGAGAGTCAATAGTGTGGCTGAGCAGCGATGTCAGAAGAGTGAAGAGGTATGGAGCCAAAAAACTCCCTCTCCAGAACTGAAGCCACATGGCCAGTGCAACAAGGAGTCCCTCACCGCCTGGTTTGGCTGCCTTGGCTGTGTCTGGAAGTCGATTGAGGCTGAATTGGACTGCGCAAAGAAGTGGCCAGCACGCCCAGTATGAGAGTAAGTATTTCATCTCCTCCTCTAGGTCAGATGATGGTGAGAATGTGCCCGGCCAGCGTGGCATGGACATGTTCAGCCAGCCACTGCTGGAAGAATTCTGCGCCTCAACGTCAGCAGCCTTTTCGTGATGATGCTGTATCAGGGCCCGACTCGTCCACCAGACAGGCAACAGAGTTCCCAAAACGAAGAATGCCATGCCAGGCACAAAATCTGATGGGCAGAGGCTTGCAGCAAACCAGACCATGGGACACACGACAATGAAAGATGCGTGAAAGAGAACGTTCCTTGCGGAGTCTAGAAAGGCCTTGGAATTATGCTTTAGCCAGGAACGCGATCTCCACAGAAGTACGAAAGCATAGGTTGCACCACCTATGCCCATGCTGCACAGCGCTAAAATACATCTTTGCTCCCAGGACATAGAGGTCCATAGCCATTGAAGAAGGGCAGCCAGCTGGACCAGAAGTGGATACACTAAACACCACCTCAGCGAAGTGAAGACATGCGAGGACACTTCTACCTTCCCCTGCCCTACATCAAACCTGCACAGTCGCAGCTACTGACTGAAAATCGATTTAGAACCTCACAGCGTTGCTCACGGGCGGAGCTGAGATGGGGACAGGTCATGTACTGCTGGGAGCACAAGCGTAACCCAGGCCGCCAGCATCTCGCCATTAGCCTGCACTGCTTGAGCAGTGCTCCTTGCAGCAGCCTCTGCATGTTGAAGGACCTCTTGCCAAGCAGTTGACCGTCCAAGTGCCAACTGCCAGGCGAACCAAGCCAGCCAAGCAAACACAACGCTGCCCGTTGTGCGCGGTCGCTTTGAGAAGAAAGTTCCCGTCACTGCCAACACGAGTAGAGCTGCAACTACATCACAAATGTCTCCTTTGTGCATCTGCACTGCATTGATGAGCTGGTTCAAGGACTGGGTCCAGGGGTCTTCCGCCCAAGCGACCAACACAGTCACTGCCATACGCTCGCCCGGTTTGCCCGGCAGTTTGAACCAGTCCATGGCAACCCCGAGCCCTAACTAGCACGCAATACGTTTCGATGTGGCGTTGCTTTTATATGTTTTTACACCCTTGCTCTCGCCTTCTGAAATGCAAGCCAACTGAGACTGCAACGCGAGCAGATCTGAACAGCATCAATTCTTGGGAAAGGTTCCAGTCATTGTGGCATGTTGTGGCATTAAGACACTCAAGACACTCGAGAGTCTACGGCTACGGGCAGCCGCTTCCTTGACCACATGCATTCATGGCTTGGCTTAGATTGACAGCTCGGAAGATCTTGAAAAATCAATAGCAAGGCAGCAAAGCCAAGCAGCATGCTGAGGTGCCCGCTCTGCTATATCCGGATGTCGCGGATCAGTCGGCCGGTACACCTCCCAGAGCTATCCGGGTCAGAAATGTGCAAGTCAGCAAGTTGAGCTGAGACTCTGACATGAGGCGTGGGTGTGTTGTATGCTAATCGGACTTGGTCCTCGATACTGCGCGGCACAAACTTTGTCCGCGGGGCTCCTGCCCACGACAAAGCAGAAGAGTCAACAGTGAATCTGTGAATCTTCAGAGCGTTTTGACTTCCGTGTTCCCGCCTGGACGCTGCGGCCGCGAAGGCGGCGGCGCAGCAGCCATTCGCCCCAAACCAAATTATGTTCAACTGGAACATACGCAATTTGAAGAGCCCTTAAGGCTGCCTGGAAGTTCCAAGCTCGGTGCAAGCACGAGAAACGCTTAGAAAGCCAATCTGTGGAAGATGTGCAAACAGTTTTGTCCTTCGAATCGCAAGAGGCCGGAGGGAAGTCCTCCGTCTGCGTGTGGAATCCATTAACACGCACACCCTGATGGACGGCTGGAGTGAAACACGGCAACTGGAAAATCATGCTCTGCGCACATCGCCCCTCGTTGGTCATCCATATCCGCTCAAGCTTCTCCACCGGCTAGTCATCCTCTGGCCCTTCTCATCCACCTCGCAGAGAAGAACCCGAAATTTCGACGGCATGCACGCAGGCGGGCCTCCACAGCATCCACTTTTCTGCCGCGACGGCTGCGCAGCATCATCTTCGGCCACAACTAGGGCTCCTCGCGTTCGCCGGGACGAAGTCTGAGTTTGGCCTTGCGAGTTCCGGAGTTCCAGAGATCTCCCTCATAAGCTCTGCAACAGGTCTGTTGAGGCCTGGAGCTCGCGCCCTGGATGCGAGAACCTCTGGCACGTTTTGCAGCAAAGCGTCTTAGACCAAGTGCCGTAAGCATCGAGCATCTTCTGCCAGAGCTCCGAAGGCTTCCTGGCTTTCATGCAAGCCAAACACAACGGACATCCGATGATGAGTTTGGTTCCAGCATCTGGGCTCGTGATGTACTGCACTTTCGAGCTCAGTCAAAGTCATTTGTGGCACTCTCCGACCGCACATCCAGGCGTGGTTAAGCCCCACGCATCGACACCAAAACCGAGCTTGGCAGAGGCCTGGAGCTGCAGCAGCTTGCGTCAACTATCAACTACAAATGGTGCATCCAGTGATCTTTTGGCCAAGTGACAGTGCTGTGTCTGGCATTGATACTCCTGGACATGGGGCATGCATCCTGGGACTATCTTGGTCCTCTTAGTGGCCTTGCATAGGTCTCCGCATCAGCCTTAGGCACTTTGGCCTGCAAAAAGGGCTTGCATGTATGACATGCCACACAACTACCGGAATGGAATTGAGGGAACGTGCCTGTGACTGCAAGTCTGATTTGTTGCCAACAATCGCCAGAACGCAAGTGGTGCCCTCAGCACCCAACTGCTTGGGCTAACAGACAACTAGGCGGGTTAAAGGTCCTGGCCATCACCTGAAGCTCCTCCACCCATTTTGCCACCCGCCTGGCTGAGCTACCGGTCATGACCTGATCTGGACCCAGTCGCATCTTACTCAGCGCACCTGAAGCTCTCCAGGTCAGTGATATCGTAAACCAGCAAGGCGCCTCGGAAGTGTGACCGCAAGTGGCACCGCCAAAGGCCGGCCTTGAGCAGCTCATGCAGCTCGCCATCAGCATTGCGATAGTAGATAGGGGCCAGGGAGTGGAAGCGCTCCTTGCGCACCAGAGTGCACAAAAACGTGCACTTGCAACATCTGAACGTCACAAATTGTCAAGAATACGCAGACCAGCATGTAGCTGCGCAAATTCGTTCCTGGCCAGCTGTATCCCACAGAGAAAGCTGGACCTGGCGCCATGATGTGCCCTTCAACGTGGACCACAATGCTGTCATTTAATCGAGCAAGTTGGATCCCACCTGCGTGCCTCGAAGCAGCAGTATCTTGTCAAGATAGGCCGCGGACTGGGTAGATGCCTCTCAGACTTGTAAACAACAGGAAGATTCCAGCACTTGCTGCTGCCTCCTGGTCACTGAAGGTTCTGGAAACGAACTGTCGCAAGAGCGAAGTCTTTCCCACTCGTCCCTGAGTTTGCCGTGTTCAGGATATTCAGATTGACTTCACACTGACTGGCAAAGGCACGCCTCACCCAGGATGACGATCTTGAAGGGACCTTCCTGTCCACTCATTTCATTTTTCTTCACCTGCAACAGCCAGCAATCCCGCTGCGTCATTGAGTGTGAGTCATATGGTGTGAAGCATGATCGTGAGGCGGCGCTTCACGCAGCCAAGTCAAGTCAAGATGAAGCTTCGCTCACGACTGACCCTGCAGCGCATCAAATACAGACAGGGCTAGCTTGACCAGCATCCGCGCTATGAGGATTTGCACACTCTGAAGGCTCCTTGGAACTGTCTAGCAAGGGCTTCGTTCACGCAGCCGCTGGTGCTTCATCAAGTGAGGCAAAGTAGCCAGCCGCGATGCCAGCTACTGAGCCCAGATTTCAATCATGGCCGCCTAGAAACCACTCTCACACTTTTGCTCACACTCCTACGCCAACTAATCGGTCAACGAGACATCGTCTAAGCGCTGTGAAGAAAAGCGGCAATGGCACGCCTTGTGATGTGCATCTTGATCTGAGCCCGTGATTATTGCAAAGAACAGAACGGGAGCATGCGCAAGTAACAACTTTGTCGATCAGGAGAATCTTGTGAGAAGTACGCAGGGAGGCTTTATGGAAAAGAGACTGCTGTTGCGAAAACTGGGGCCTGACGGAGTCTTTGACATCACTGTGTGAGCGGGAGAGAGGCTTACTCTAACAAGCAGCTTCCTACCTGGCAGGTTTCACAGCTACGCAACCTGCCAGTGGCCAGCTGAGAACAGAGCAAGCTAGGCTTTCAAGACCAAGGGATGCGATTTCTCAAATGAAATCTTTGCCTTTGTTCATGGTCGGTACGGACACAGGGCAGGATACAGGGCAGCAGCCTGCTGTATACTCATTAAGGACAGGATCACTGCGGACTGTATCGATCCAAAACTCAGATCCTACCGGGCTGTCACCGCGGCACCAGCTTGGCTAACTGACAAGCTACATCAGTCGTCGCACCCCTCTGTCAATACATGCGGCGAAACAGCCAAGGCAAACAATGCTATCTGAAATCTGTAGCCAGGGCCTTGCACCATGACTTTACATGAGAATAAAACAAAGTTTCAAACAGAGCAGGGGCCTGAAGGGTTCTTGGGATGAGGATTGTTTGACGGTGTGGAAACTGATTACCAGGATGCTGCTACCGTGGGTGCCGGATGGTGCCGGCGGCCGACTCCCGACGCCTCCCAGCGCCGTCTGTACAATCAGTGGGCTGACTTGGCCGCAGGAACTCTTACCCTTCACTTTGCTATGAGTTTGCTAGTGCGGTTGCTTGCATCAGCGAGGGGAGACTGTGGGCCGAGATGGCCACTGACCGCCTTGAGACACTGAAGTGGCACTGCTAAAGCCGCGGATGCAGGGAGATCGTGTCGATTGCGCGAGCTGAAGGCAGCGCAGATGGACCAGTCTAGCGCCGAAGAGCACTGGGGCAGAGAGCTACACTGAAAGATAGAGCGGAAAAATGCGGAAAAGTAGTTGGGAGCATTCAAATTTCATCAGAAGGAAACGCATTGTGAGACAAAGCCCTGCCCTGAAGGACCCGAAACCAAACGGCCCAATCGACAGGCAGGCTGGCACTTTGTTACTAGCCGTACTGGCTGTAGTGGCATGCCCCGTGATGTTCATCCAGTAAGCCCTCCCCACTTCAGGTCTTCCAACACCGCAGACAAGTGTGTTGACGCTTGGGCCGGCAAACGTACTTTTTTTGGGGCCGATGACCACACCATCCTCAAGCTGCTTAAACACAAAGCCGCCACCGAGCACAATGAATCCGAAGTTGCCTCCGCCCGAGGGGCCGGGAGTGCTCCTCCTCCATTGCAAGAAGCTTCGAACCAAAAGGATGCCACAAGCATGAAGCATGTGAAGCATGTGAAGCATGTCGTTTCGCGTTTTGAAGCATCCCCACGGAGCCTATCTTACAGCCACAGTGTGCTCTTGATTGACCCTTTGCCCGTTCTGTTCTTTAGCACCACTTGCAGACTGCGTTCTGGGAAGCCCACTTCACGGCCGAATTTGAGTCTTGCCAAGCTGACATCATCCTTCATGCCTTATTTTTAAAAGGCAACCAAATCCCTTACCCGCCTCCCAGTTTGAAACAGAACTGTGGGGTACCAAGCGTGGGATCTAAAACAGAGCTTGGCAAATGTTCTTGCCTAAGGATCTGCGAACCTGCAAACAGCAAATCGTTGAATTCTTCGGGGAGAAAGCATAGCAGCCTGGGTACAACGGAAAGCCATCTGGATGTGGCGTTGTTTGTGGGTATGTGTACTGTTGCCTGACGACCGGGGCAGTGCCATACTGCAGCTGTTTTGGATGCGTGTGACCAAAGCTGTCAGCGACGCTGCATTAATTTAGCCTCGACATCAGGTGTTCTTTCATCCGCCCCATTGCAAGCTGGTGAGCTGTTGATTCCTACGCCACAGAACACCTTTGAAACCTTAGAGGCAGATGAACAGATCTCTTCTCTGTGAGGCTGTGAGGCTATGCTACCTGCGAAACACGTGACTGCTTCGCAGAAGTCTGCGAACAATCCTCAGCCCCTCCAGGCGAGTGCTTTTTGCCTCCCGAGCCAGCTCGAAATTCAAGTTCTGGCATCACTGGACGGCTTTGCGGTAATCAGGCAACGAATTTTCTGCTGCGCGATTGCCATGGTCAGCCGGAAGTAGCTTGATCCTTTCACAGGTCCAAGAAAAGGGGTCAGCAGAAAGGCTGTCGAATAAACATCAACAAAAATCATGTCGTTGCTCTGAGCGCAAAATGAAGATCCTGTTTGCCTCCTACCAAGCCCGTGTAGCATACCCGGGAGCATGTCTCCCTGTGGTCTACGCCATGCAGTCACCACCCCTGCAGAAAACGGTTCAGTCCTATGGAAACGTCTTCTTTGTCATGATGTTGTAGAAGTCCTCTACGGTTCCAGCAGATGCACTGTTCATGCACACGGAAGTAGGTCTGACCTCTGGGGTTATTGCACCATCTCCATCTGTGTCAGCTCTTTCAATCATCTCGCGGAGCTCCTGCACCGAGTTGTCGGTATCAAAGAATTCCAGGCAGCGCGAAGAACACGCCTCTTCTGTCATTGTTTCACCGAGTTCCTTTGAGACTCTCTTAAGATTCTTCAAGGTGATTGTCCTGGCACAGAAACATGATGATTGCAAGCATGTTTTGGAAGACTGACAGAGTCTACCAACTCAAGTACAAACTTGAGCTCCCGGTTTTGTCGTCGTCGAACAAGTTAAAGATTTTGTGGATTCCTTCTCGACTTTCCTTGTCGCCCTGGGTATGCAAGCTCAGTAACACAGATGCATCTTGTCCACAACTTCAAGTAGGGATCAGGCCAGCTTAGCTGTGATTGCATCCAGGAAATCGTCGAAATTAATGGCTGTTCCTGCACGGCCGTCACACTTCTTTTGCTAGGAAGATTCTACAACCAGAATGTTGCACTCTTTTTTGCGAAAAGACTCTGTTTAATCTGTTGAGGTCGCCGCTCAAAAAGTTATAGCCTGTTGTTTCAGGACTCTCTTTAATGTGTTTCGGGTTTTGGACCGCTAACCAACTGCAGACCGGCCCGTCTGGTAATCCGCAGGGCCTCCCCAAGGCCTTCAGTGCCGCGGGAGTGTTATTGAGGACACCTATCTTTATTTTCTGGAGGCCTGTTTGTTAGGGCGGAGGGGGCCAACCCCTGTCCCCGGGTATACTGGACGCGGATGAGGGCAAGTGGTCTCAGTTCGGCATGCGGCACGGGTCCCCGAGGCATGTGTCAATTAAGGGTAATAATGTCACCAAGTAACCGGAAATAAGCTTCCTGCCAGTGCTAGAGGGGCCTCGCACCCCCGTCGGAGCACCGCCCACTCTGTCCACAGCTTCGCTGTCGGGCACCCCAGAGGACGAAGCACAAGCAATTCCCGGCCATCACCCAGTACCCCACAAAACACCAAGGCTACAAGTTAACACCCAGCAAACCCCAACTACCGCGTGAATGACCCGGATTTGGTCACACTTCCTGCTCCATGGGGCTGTGACACTCCACGCAGCACACGATGGAGGCGCATGTGGAAAATCTATTTACACCAACACGATTGCCTCACCTTGCATGTCTACTTTACAAGGTCAGCAAGTTGGAGTGCCCGGGGGGTAATAAACAAAACCAACAGCAGGAAGACCTACTCCACAACCACAATCACTCCCCCACTACTGCTTCTATCTGGTTCTCATGCCCTGCTCTGCTGGCATGCTCGTGAGTTCCAGTCGGCCTCTCCTGGTGCATGCAAAATGTCAGGGCACCCACTAACTCCAAGCAGCAGGTCAGAGACTAAAACCCCCCCCACTTCTTCTTCTTCTTCTTCGGGTGCTAGGGTGGTAGGGTGCTCTCACAGCACCCTCCGAGCAGCCCCGCACCCATGCGCGCCCTGTCCCGTCTGGTCAGCACTCCGGAGGATGGATGCACCCCGAACCCAGGCCAGAGCATTGAACAGCAACTAACAGTAAAGGTCCTTCCATTCTGGTTAGCTAGCGCCACCCGGACAGCGAATGATGAAGCTCCCCAGTAAGCTGGACACAAACCGGGACCCCAAAACCCGCCCCACTCAGGTGAATCATGGTCCCCAAACCTGGTGGCAGTCCGATTGGGAGGCTGTGCACTCGCAGCCAAGCCAAGGCGACCCCACCCCAAGTTGGACTAACAAGATCAGCCTTCGGTTTTCAGCAACGGGACCTCTTCACGGACCGAACACTGAAAGGACTCTGACCGGACGACCGACCGGACCAACCGGACCTTCTTACTGACTATTGACCGGACCACCGACGGCACTACGGACCAGACCACTGACCAAAGACACTGACAGGACCACCAAATTTACGGCGCATCCACCCAGACCATGGACCACAGACGACCGGACAACCCAACAACATCCCATGCGAAATCTGCGCCAGGGTGCGCCAAAGCCGGCTCTTCGGAAGTATAGAATGAACATTTTGAACACCTGCTAAACGCTAGTGGGAATAAGATCGCGTGTCGCCTGGTGATAATGAAATATGTAGGTGGCGTTGCTTGATCCGATGGTTTATTGGCTTGGGAGCTGCATTCAAATGGAGCTTGCCGTTCATGTTGCGCTGAGTCATTGACATTTTGCCAAGAACAAAGAAACTTCCAAAGCAAAGCTTTTCCAACAACCAATCTGACTCGTTGGTGCAAAACCTCATTTCAAAGGTCTTTTCATGCGAATCACCAGGTGCACGCCGCATTTCAAGGCATCACAGATACCATAGTGTAAGCACCAGACTTCCTGCAGAAACAACTTATTGCATCGGAAAAGTTCAAGATGATTGCTCCATATCATTCCCTTTCATCTCTCATCTTCCATTTTGGCTTTAGGCCAGACAAATCATCATGCAACGAATGACCATTATTCCTAGCATCCATACTCCACAATCAAACGCACAAAGGAGCGACTTTCACAAAATGATCCCCCGAATATTTCCGTCCGTCAACAAAACAAGAGACGACTTCTAAACGTTGCTGTAGCTGCTCAGAGAAGTGAGAAAGTCCCTCAGAGCAGAAAAGCTTCAGAAAAACTGGTCAAGATGACCACAAGGTCAGAATGCCTATGAATGAACGATATTGTTGAGGATGTGCTGAAAAGCCCAAGTACAATCCAGAACAAGGAGGATCAAACACGGCAGCGCCACCATCTTGGTCCAGGTCAGCGATCATCTGGAAGATGGTCGGGTTCTTGGTCTCGAAGCCAAGCGATCTCATGGCTGCTTTGAGCTCGCCCCTGCGGCGCACAGCAAACCCTGCAGTGCCACGGTGGTCTGATAAACGTATGCCGATCAACACAAGCTGTGGCGCACGGGTCAATCGTGCCCGAGCCGTCGGTGTCGAAAAGATTGAAAGCTTCCTTGATTTCATCGATTTCATCCTGATCTTGAGCTGCAGTATTACAACATGATCAAGCCGTTCATTCGTTGATGGAAGTCCTCAGTGAGGCCGGGCTTGTCATAGGTCAGCTTCTTGCGGGGTGCCCCCCTGAGCTGAGAGCTTATTGGCTCCACCCATGAGTTTCAAGAAGCACTCACTGACACCCTGCACGCCTTCGTGCGGCACCCATCGACATCCTTGCAGAGCCAAGCAGGGCCAAGCGGAGTCATAGGTTGCTACTAGGAAGTCGCACATGTTGATTACATGTTCTGCAGCTCAGGATCGCCGGAGAGGGCAGCAGGCCCGAAAGACGGGCGTTCACTGTCAACTGTTTAGAGTAGAAGAAACAGCAGTGGGCCAACATGAAAGTGCAACTTGCAAGCTGGGTTTCACCATCAGGACAGCTCCTGACGTGCCAAAGCTTTTGACTCTAGTGGCGCCGCTCCAGCCAAACTTTCTGGCTGTCGGGACAGTGAAACTCCTCAGAACCAGGCCGAGTGCGGTTGAGGCCTGCAGCTTCATCTGCTTTACAACGCGAACGCCGGAGCACAGCACAGACCACTAAGGTGCGAGCTTCTCCAGCCATAGAACGGTCAGAGTGTGAATGAACATGTCCTGGAGCACAAAGCTCTACACGTCATCAGTCATTTGTGAATGCCCTGGCTCTCTTGAACCTCCGCAAACTATGGCTGCATCTCCCCTTTGGATCCCTGATAGATATGCAGAGATCGACTTTGTTCTTCTACGTGTGAACGTGCATCTTCAACTCTTGATTTGGACCAATGTACAGGTCTTGCATATCGAAAACAAAAATCTACATACGGCAACTGATAGCAACTGCACCCATTTCGGAGCTGGAGCAATACTTTGCTCGCAACAGAACAGCATGACGTCATCAAGCCAAGAAGCTGAAAGGGTCCCATCTTTGCAAAGATGCTGGGTAGTTGACTCGGCTCATGCTAGGTCATGCTAGTAAACGAATGTAGGACGCGAAAAAAGATTGATGCTATGTCCAGGCCAAGCATAGCCTGCAAGGGCCTAAATAACATGTGATCTTCGAGCACCATTAGCATCGGAAGGGTCACTCACAAGAAAAGATCTCCCAAGAAAATCTCGTTCCAGGGACCATTCCGTGAGTGAAAACCCATAGCAGGTGCTCTATGTTGGATTTCTGAGGGTAACAGAATGGATGCTTGCAATCTGATTGCGCCGCACCTTCGCGGCCTCTGACTCCTCGAGAAAGCAAACTTCGCAGTTCAAAGCTTTCGTGTCATCGACGCGGTACCTGTGCTGCTGCCAAGCCTTTCGCAAACCACCTGGGCACAGCTGTTGGTCCACGGGCGCACTTGAGTAGGACCGCACAGCTCTTCTCCATGTCGGTCAAGAGCGACTCCCACTGCGGGTTGACATCCGCAAAAACGAACAGCAAATCTGTACGCCTAAGCATCCCCTGCATGATGGGTGTAAGGGAGCAAGCGAATTCTAAGGAAGCATCCAAAAGCTTACGCGGTGCGTTACAGTTCATTGGGACTCAGTTCCCTGGTCAGAGCAAGTCTTTGAAGTGCCATGCCTGTGCAATCAGCATCATGCTGTCCGTAAGCGAACAGATGCCCTGTCAAATGCTCACAGGCTGCAAATGGCCTCCTGTTGAACCGCACAACCTGCCTGAATGGCGTCCATCATGATGTCAAGATGTCTTCCATCTGCTCCGCCCGGAAAAAACGACCTGCATACTCTGCATAGTTCGTTGCTCCTCAGGCTTCACGTTGCTCTCAGGCCAGGGCAAGGAAGAGTGATTGTGATCCAAATAATACCTGGCCCATAAACAACATCGGCAGAGACTTGGAAAAGCTGTGCTACAGTCCAAGAAGTCTGAAAAGGTGCTTTGTTGGAACACGCCATAGTGGCGAGCCATGCGCCTCTGCAACACAAGTCCCCCCAACGAAAAGCGCTAAATTCTGGAAGATAAGTTTTCAGTCCTGGCCTCAGAGCTCAGCAGTAGCATGGCATATCTGCCTTGAACAGCAGAACTCAACCAAGCCTGCACGAGTAGCGACACCAAGACATCTGTGAATCTTAGAACACTTGCAGACGCTTGCAAAACAGCTTGTCGAACATGTCAGTATATGCTCCACGTGCGAAATTTCAGGCATGGCATACTTCCAAAATTGCAGTTAGATCCTGTGCCTGTCTGTCAAGCAACTGTCGCCTGGTATTCATTCTAGCAGTGTGGACCTGGCATGGCAGTGTGATGAGCCAGGCCAGGGCCAAACGTTGCAAAGGAATGTCGAAGTTCGCACTCAGCCAGGTGCCAATGCGTTGGAATACCGGTCTTGCGAACGTGCAGTGTCGATTGTATCACACTCTTCATACTTGACCTTCACGCTTACGCCAGCACCGAACCACTGCACAAAGCCAAAGATCTAAGGCACGCTCCGGAGAATAGCTCAGCGTCTGCATGTGCAGCGGCTCCACCTTCGAAAGTGCGAGTATCTGCTCTGTGCATTCAGTAGCTGCAAAGAGCTGGTTACGTCTGTCTGCCTCACACAGGCCCTCGTCAACCACTAGCTGGGCCGAGTGACTCGAACTGCCAATCCAAAGCCAAGGGTGTGCAGCGGCATGAGGACCACACAGGTTCACGCAAGAGGTTTGCATATGACGGACACCGAAAATGTACTCTCACCAACATTCCTAAGGAACCCCGTATGCTCACCAGAAACCCCTACATACCATGTTCCCGTTTGTTGGTGCAAGATGTAAACTGATCTGATCATCTTTCTGCGGAACAAGATCGCTTTGCAAGGACAGCCTCTCCGTCCAGCTGGCCACGTAGACCCGCTCTTGCAAGCACTCTTCCTGGCAACTCCTACGTTCAATATTCCGTGTACTTAGCTTCGCTCTGAGCTAGCAAGCTTGCGAAAAAGTGATAGCAGCGCAGATACCTGTCCCTGTGGACCGCATAATTAGCAAGCTTCCAAACCCCAACCACACAAGGAGATAGATGAGCCTGCCCGCAGCAAGACTCGCGCAAGAGTGTTCTAGAAAACTCCGGACGCTCTGTACCCCACAGTCGCCGTTTGAGAGAATCTGCTTTTCCCAGACTCACGTAGCCATGATTTTGACCAATCTGCGTGTTGGGTTTTACAAATCTTCGGTTTGAGATTCGCTCATCCATGCTATCCTGCTCGTCAAATTCATCAAATTCATGGCCAGGATTTAGCAAGAATTGCTTGCATGAGTCCTTTGGCAACCCAAACTACACACGCGTCTCTTTGGAATTGCTGTCAAAATCCTGGCGCTTCAAGACAAAGACCTTGCTTTGAGGAAGCGCTCAGGAAATCCAGTGCGGCCTCAAACCTTTTCTACCGAGTGATTACTTCGTCATTGTGAGGCATCTCATGCTCGTAGTCCACGTAAGCCTCTGGGGACTCTGGGGGCAAGTGCTTATGGACTGCGGCGATGGTCTTATTGCAGAGCAGCTCGAACTGCATGAGACAACACGATGCGGTCCACACCCTTCAGTCCAAATCATGCTTCAAGTTCACGCGCCGCATCTTCTCGGAGCTCGGCGCTTTAGAATACCTAACGTCAGTGCGCTTGGCGCGGCCAAACGCAGGTGAAGCACTGCGCCACGGCATCTGCGCTGACAAGCAACACCAAGTGTAGACCTCGTTGAGGATGCCGCTATGCTGCATCGCCTCATTAGCTGCTAGCCGGCATCTGCGCCGTAGCTACAAGGCCTGTCAACAAAACTTTCCGCATAGCACCGGACTGCGACGGAGAATTTGAAGGGTCAGTTTCTGGTTTGAGATCAGGGGCCCACCACATCTTGCGATTTCTCGTTTTGGCAGTCGCTGGGGCGTAGAAAAGGCTGCCTTCTCTTCGTCATGGCACTCTTCGAGCACGGATTTGCTTGTCAGAGATCTGCAGGCTTGAACGTCATCAGCTCGTGTTGAGGGTGCTTTCGAGGAGGTTGATGATTTTGGCTCATCTGCCTGCTCTCGACTCAAAGCCTGTGCAGTCTCAACTCCTGGAATGTGGCACCGGATGCACCGGCAGCAGGAGCCCGGCCACGCGCTATAGGGGCACCCACCGCGAGCGCTGAAACGTGGCTGCCGCACGATTCGCTCCCCAATCTACGAGCTACTGTATCTGCTTCTAATCATTCTGATCCTGGTTGAGCTGTGTTTCTATATGAAGCTACCAAGTAGCTTTCTTGTGATGTGCGCTAATGCTTTGTGGATTGGGCTTAAAGAGAAGTCGTGAAGTCGCTCCAGATTCAATGCTGCAATCCTTTCCAACTGCTCTGCCTTGTCCACATCGCAGACTTGGAAGTGTGGAGAGCTTGTGCGCAATTCACCATCGCACCTGCGTCAGAGCATCCGTACTTGCGGTCATGGGCAACTTGACAAAGGGCAAGATGCCAGCCTTTTCAACTGCACTTGCTGGCAGCACTGAATTGACCTGTAAGGAATAACACCATTCAGGCCAGCAGACAAGGAGAATTCTCAGCAGCCGACAAACCGTGTCCCATGGCACATGGGTGCTGCTTGGAAAGCCCCAGCTGCGACACAGCAGGAGTGTCTTATTCTACATGCTACGTGTTGTCAATCCCAACTTAGCTACGAGTGCCTGCAGAAGTCTATGCAGTCTATACAGAACATTGAGCTTTAGAGGTGTTACTCAGAGGCATAGCCGGTGCACGTAGGCTTGGGCCTAGAAGCTTCAGAAAAAGATCCAATTGCACAGATGCAAAGTATGCTGCGTGTGTGAAAGAGCTAGATTCGCGTGCAACATCAATGGGCGGGGAGAAGTGCTTCAACTCCTAACAAGCGAGGCAACGACTCAAAAACAGTTCCAGCATTACAGGAACGGCATGGACGAGCGTGAAAGTGCATAGCAAGGCACTGATCAACGCAACGCGTTCTAAAGCAGCTGTTCCGGGCTGCGCCGTGTATGAAAACAACACGGATACATGGATGAGAGAGATGCGCAGTTGGACATCCTCAGGTGCTACTTGCTCTGCTCAGCGGCACGGTGCCGCAGAGATGTGCCTCATGCCAAAAATGAGCCCCGCCAAGGACAAGCTTGTCAGCTCAAGCCTGGCTTGCTCAGGCTGAGGCACTGGTCAATTGAGGTCATGCACAAAGGGCAACGCTTGTTGCGTCGCAGCCTCCAGGACTTCAACATGCATTGCCCAACCAATGCTGGCAATGGCTTCCTGACATTTCAAGCTAGAGGTGCGGGCCACTTATCGATACAGTGACGATGGAAATCGTGTCCACAGGGTAACCTTTCAAATCAACAGCTGAAAGGTGAGGGCTTTCCGAGGAGGCGCGCAGATCTGGCCTCCGAAGCACTGCGCCGTCAGCAAAGCCAGATAGGCAAATGGAGCAAGGTGCCTTTGACCACACACTTGCTGCACAGACTACTGCTAGCTCAACTTCCCCATCAATGTGCCACAGGAGCAGTGGCTTTGGAAACAAGTTCTTGCAAAAGCATGCTTGCCAAAAGCGGGTCAAGGCGCTGCTTGGTCATCTTCCACCAGTGTCTGTGCCAAGCGGAAAGCCGGAAGCGAGCTGATTTGAATCTTTGTGGCCTGAAAACACAACGCTCACTTGATGTGTGCCGTGCGAAGGCCTGAACTCTAGGTAGCTTGCCCCAACTGCTGCTGGCACCTCAGTCTGTTGAATTTACAAAGAGCAAACCTGAAACATCTTGCCAGCCTGCCAAAGCAAACAGCAGGTTTACTGGCAGCTTACAAGATGGCAAGCTTGATTTACTGGCAGCTTGGAATGCCTTGCCAAGTCACCTGGCTCTGGCTGCTAGTCTCTTCGTGAAAGAACGCTCGAAAGATGAAGATAGCGACAGTTGCACGCACTGCTGAAAGGCACATGACCTCAGGAACCGTGCGCATATCACGTTCCAATTCAAGCATACTAGAGGAGCATACACGTGCAAACACAGGAATCGCCTAATAAAGCAAGAAAGCTCTGCAGAAAGCAAACAGATACCATCCAAGAACCGAATCTGCTTGCAGCATTGGCCTACAGCCCGTTTGGCCACGGGCTGCGAGTCAAAGATGACCCAGAAACAAGGCTCAGAGGGAAAAATCCAAAAGCAAACATGTGGCTGGAGGGGCATTCCAAGCTTCAAGACATCGCGTTGAGAAGAATTCGTGTGCGCGTACGAATTAAGCACGGAATCCATCATAAGACTGGCAACAAGCACTCCACAAGACTCTGCTGCGCAGCAGCTTGAACAATGACTATAATGACTACAAGCCGCCGAGACGATCCAAGAGCAGCAGATCAACTTGTCAGAACACCTGCTGACAACGAATAGATGCGAATAACGCCCTGCACGAGGCAACGCTCAAAAGCGATATTGCTTTTCTGGGGCCGAGAGTGGGACCGGGTACCGCGACGGTTTTGGAGCTAGAAGGATGGCGGCGCGTCACAGCGAAATATCCAGGTACTGTCACCATTTGTTGAGACAAAATTATATTGTGACGTGCTGAAGTGAAAACTAGTTTTGGGCACTTGAAACTGAGTTACAGAGCTTCAAACTATGTCCAGCCAAACCAGCCCGGACAACAACTTAGGGTCGGTCAAGGTCGAGGGATTCTTACAAGCTTTGGACCTGTCGCCTTGAGTTCAAACTTTCCCAGGAAAAGTAGCCCCCCAGGCTCGGCCACCCACGAGCTGGCAAAGGAGACTCCGGCCTTTGACACTTCTCAAACCTGCTTGAAAAGGCCTGAAGACTGGTTTGGGGCCTGAGACTTGTTTGTAATGCCTGAAAACTGATCTTGGGCCTGGACAAGGATCTTTGAGACAACTCTAAATTATTTGTCTAGTCTAGACAAGCTTGCACAGTGCAAAACCTTGGGTCTCAGCCAGCCGCTTCTCGACAGGTTTTGACCGTCCAAAGTTTGGCAAGGAGATTTTGCCTCAAAGAAATTGACTTCAACGCATTTCAATTATTGCTAGATTGGCTGTTTGGCTTGACAACCAGCAAAGCTAGGATAAGCCAGGCAAGCGTGGCAGAACTCAACGGTGCAAGCGGGGGGGTGCTCATGTGGCTGAATGGACGAGTGCATGGGTCACATGCCAAACGTCTGGACAGTGCAGGACAGGATCAGCTTGACTGCGCAAAGCCGCCCAGCAAACTCTAAGCCCAGAAGCCCAAAACCCTCTACTGCTTCATACTGGAATGCGGTCGGCCACGGTGGCATGCATGTCTCATGTAGATAAGCACTTTTTGGCATTACTCCGTCATTTTCTTTGTCCGAGTTGCGCAAGGTTGAAGGACCTATAACATTCTTACTCATCAAATGCTCAACTAAGCTTGCTCCAAATTTTTGGGCACAGGATTGCCGCGGCGGGTTGTGGCTGCAAGTCGTCTGTGGCATGTTGTTGCTGCCCGTTTACGTTGGGGTGCAAAATGTCTGCCACAGTATGTGTTTCTTGCAGCAAGACAGGGTAGCTTTAGGAAAGCCAGGTCTTGGGTTTTTGGTCTGGCCTGGGCTGTTTGAGATGGAGACAAACTCCAATTACAGCAATTGCTGCTACAGACCGGCCTCTGGCGTTTGGGGCAAGACTCTACCAACTCCCCGACTCAACCCGTTATTGAGCGGGCAGTTCTGGTTGAACTAGGCGGAAAGCATGTTGGGTCGGGCCTCAGGTTCGCGAGAATCAAGCGACGCAGGGGCTTCTGAGATTCTGATGTTCGCCCCCGCCCGCCTCCCCCCACGCGACAAAGCCTTAAAAACCAAAACAACCCCAAAGCCCCCGAGCCAAAGATCCTTAATCCTTGAAAACCAAAACCTTAAACCACGAAAATGGTAAACAGCTGAACCTTGAAACCCCAAGTCCCCAGACCCCTGAAGCCCTAAACCATGGACCCCAAATCGCCCAAAACCCTACAGTATCCAACCCCTAAGCCCCAGCACATCTAAACCACCGAAAGTGCAAAATCCTGAAAACCTGTTCCATGGCCGGATTGTTCTCTGCAAGCAACCCTATCAGGGAGCACAAAATAATACTAGCTTTCAGAATGACATCTGAGGCAATAAACCAAAGGAATGTAGCCACCTTGTCTCAACAAGCCCCTTGCAAAGCTTCTGTGGCTTGTCATGGCACCCAAGCTGGCCGGCACGTATTTTGGATTTGATGCTTCAGTTCTCAGCTCATGGAAGGCAAAACATGCATAGTCAATGTCAATCAAGTAAGCCTGTGCGGATGCTCATGCAAGCGGCTGCTGCATCCCAAACGAACGCCAAGACGGGTGGACGTGATCGCGGACCGGACTTCATTTCGGAAGCTGCAGCTCTGGAGACTGGGGCCCGTAGACGGCCTGCTTGCACCAGGCCGTGGAACTGGGCAAGGAACCGAGATGAGGCGGTAGGCCAATCAGGCATCAGCCTGTTATGCGGCATCGTGGTCAATGTCGTCCATCAGTTCACCCTGTTTGAAAGCTTCAGTGCACCCGTGCCTCGCATTCTCAAGACAGCAATCAGCAAAGCAGTAAGGAGAGTTTACAACTACAACGAAAAAGCACAGGTATGTAAATGCATTGTTCATCGTATGCTGAAGTAGAACAAGAGAACTAAGATGGCGCATGTGCACGCATTACATGACGCGCATTTGTAGAAACGTTTTACGTAGCATACGCAGCTCGTTCCGTTTTCAGGTATATGCGCATATCACCAGGTGAAGGCAGAGCCGCGTACATATACAAGGTTGCTGGACACAATTGCATGAGATGTATCACGATGATTCATGGTCTGGAATTGTGGACATCTGTCAACAATCCGGAGACAGGAGGCTTGCAGGAAAGTAAGTCAGGTTTCGCGAGGTCATAACCCATGGATTACACCAGCATGTCATGAATATCTGCCCATCACATGTAGCCTGCATCTTGACAGAAGCAGCCATTAGATTTTGCTTGGAAGCGTTGAAATGCCATTGCCTGGGTAATCAAACAACAAGAAACAAAATGTTGCTCCCAAAACAAAAAAACTTCCTAGGCAAGGGACACTTAAACGACAAGAAGTGGTTGCTGGGGAACAACCTACAGGGACACGGGAACGCGGGGGTCGTTTTGGCACCCCCACTGAAGCTCTTTTTTGAAGCTCTTTTTCGGCCGTCGGACAAGATGAAGCTCTTTTTCTGGCTGAAGGTCTGAAGCCTTTTTTTTGAAGCTCTTTTTCGGGAATTTCGTCTTCGTCGAGCTGCTGAAGCTCTTTTTCTGCGAATTTCGTCTTCGCGCAGACCCTGACGCTCTATTTCCCTTTGAAGCTTGTCTTGAGGCTCTTATTCCTGAAGCCAATTTTCTGCACATTTCGTCTTCGCGCAGGCCCTGACGCTCTTTTTCCCCTTGAAGCTCATTTTTGAAGCTCTTATTCCTGAAGCTCTTTTTCTACAGATTTCGTCTTCGCGCAGTCCCTGACGCTCTTTTTCCCCTTGAAGCTCTTTTTTGAAGCTTTTATT